ACCTCGGGAGTGGCTCTCGTCTCCACCCCAGGCTGGGAGTCCCCTACAAGGACTTCGGGAGGGCCCAGATCTGGCCGGAACCCTTCCTGTCTGCCGCGACTTGGGCCTCAAGTTGCCAAAACTGGAACTCCCAACTTTATCTCTTTTTTTGAGAAAGTTACTACTTTGCTGGATCATACTTTGTTTGAGAAAGTTACTACTTTGCTGTATACATAGTTTATCTCAATTTCAATAAGGCTTTTGATAAGGTTCCACATAATATTCTTGTTGGAAAATTGGAAAAATGTGGTTTGGATCCTATGACTGTTAGGTGGATCTATAACTGGTTGACAGATCACACCGAAAGTGTGCTTGTGACTGGCTCCTCATCTTCTTGGAGAGCAGTGACAAGTGGAGTGCCTCAAGGATCTGTCATGGGACCTGTTTTGTTCAACATCTTTATTAACTATTTGGATGAAGGGATAGAGGGAATGCTTATTAAATTTGCAGATGATACTAAATTGGGAGGGGTAGCAGATACAGTAGAAGACAGAGTCAGGATACAGGATGATCTTGACAGGCTGGAAAACTGGGCTAAAACAAATAAAAAGAGATTCAATGGGGATAAATGTAAAGTTTTGCATTTAAGTAGGAAAAATCAAATGCATAATTATAGGTTGGGGGAGACTTGTCTTGGCAGTAGTATGTGCGAAAAGGATCTAGGGGTTTTAGTAGACCCTACACTGAACATGAGTCAGCAATGTGATGTGGTTGTTAAAAAGGAAAATGCGATTTTGGGCTGTATCACCTAGAGTATTGTGTTCAGTTTTGGACACCACAATTTAAGAAGGATATAGACAAGCTGGAACGTGTCCAGAGGAGGGCAACGAAGATGGTGAGGGGTCTGGAGACCAAGTCCTATGAGGAAAGGTTGAAGAAACTCAGTATGTTTAGCCTGGAGAGGAGACAACTGAGAGGTGATATAATCATCTTCAAGTACTCGAAGGGCTGTCAAATAGAGGATGGTGTGGAGATGTTTTCTGTTACCCCAGAAGGTTGAACCAGAACCAACAGGTTGAAATTAAATCAGAAGAGTTTTCGGCTAAACATTACGAAGAATTTCCTGACAGAGCAGTTCCTCAGTGGAACAAGCTTCCTTGGGAGGTGGTGGGCTCTCCCTTCTTTGGAGGTTTTCAAACAGAGGCTAGATGGCCATCTGACAGCAATGCTTATTGTGTGAACTTAGGCAGATCATGAGAGGAAGGGCAGGAAGGGTTGCCTCAGTGCTTAATTCTTGTGGCCCTTTCTTACACGCTCAGGGAAACACTGATTGCCTCTTTCAGGTCAGGAAGCAATTTTTCTCCAGGCAAGGTTGGCCAGAGATCCTGGAGGTTTTTTGTCATTTTCTGGGCATGGAACAGCGGTCACTGTGGGTGTGGAGGGGGAGGTATTTGTGAATTTCCTGCTTTGTGCAGGGGGTTGGACTAGATGATCTCACGAGATCATGGCATTCTAAGATTTTTTTAATGGAGGGATAAAAGCAGTGACAGGAGGATGAAGATAGGAATGGCAAGACGGTTTGAGGAGGGAGGACAAGGAAGATGGACAAGGCAGGCAACCTGTGTACATCCATCAATCAGATGGGCGTCAGATAGGACAGAAGGTTTAAAGCATGAAGTCCATCTCCTGTGCTTTCTGCCTCAAAGCCTCCTGCTATGGTTTCTTGGCTGCTGGGGGGGTGCAGGAAGAACAGATTTCCCCATTCATCTCCATACCTGTCAGGAGGAGGGCAGCAGTGGCAAAGGTTTTTGAAACAGAAAGCACCAGATGCATTTTCCAATTGTATTTCTGAATAGGGAAGTAGGAAAATAATTTTAAAATCCTTACTTCAGCACTTTCCTCACTTCCACAAACATGCATACAAAATACCTAATGATCTAATGATTTCATGTTGTGCTTGCTAAAAACACCGAATGCACTGTGAAGGCTTCAGGAAACTCCATCTCTAAAAAACTAGATTGTATAGGATATTAACAAATCTAGTTCATATTACATACATTTGGAGATGGCAGGATTTTGTCCCTTTTTTTCCACAAGGAAACTCCATGTCTTAATAATAAATAATAATAATAATCTTTCAATTTATTAATCGCTCAATCCTGCAGAGCTTGCTGGCTCTGAGCGATTTAGTTACTCATATACACACGGGACTAACAATGATTCAAAGGGGTAAGGGAAGACAACATATAAATCTTTAAATCACACACGTTCGCAGTTGATGGGGAGTTTGTTCAGCTGTAGGGTCAGACATGTTTTAACGGCATTTTTCCTCGGTGTGGCTTGATGTCATCAGCTTTTCTCCAGGACTGCTTCAAGTTGCAGTGCAGCACTGCCACCGCCTAGCCAGACGGCCCATTACAGGCTTTCTTGATGCTGAAGAGTTCTTTCTAGGCTTTCGATCTTATGCGCTGGACATTCCGTTCGCCGGCTAACACCTCCCCCACCGGGGGGTTTAGTGTGCCCACCCTCTCTAAGGAGTGGTACCCATTTTATCTACTCGCCGAAGCTTTTGAACCGCTGGGTGGACGGCGAGCTGGGGACAAGGCTGGTAGCTCACACCAGCACGGGGCTAGAACTGACAGCAGTACTGTTCAGCTCAGATGGGTTAACCAGAGAATAAATCCCCTGTGCTCTTGCTATCTCCTCCCCCCCTTTTTAAAATAAGGAAGAAAGGCCTTCAGTGTATCCATCAGTGCTCTGGCATGCAAGACAGGAATTGTACACAAAACAGGCAAACACATACATAGTAAGTGTGAAGGAAATACAGGTTTGATAGACAGCAGCAGGTAAACAAAAGAGTTTCTAAGTCACATGATTGAGAATGGTGGGAGCAAGATTGCTCGGAATTCTCAGTAAGTGACAGTTGAGAGCTGACAGTTGACAGTTGGAAGAGAGTTAGCTGAAGAGCTCTTGAGAGGAAAGTAGCCTCGAGCTGAGTTAAACAGCAACCCAGCTGTTTGAGGAAAACTGAGGCTGAATAATATTTATAACTGGTACCCTCTGATGAGAGAGGAGAGTGAACAGAGAGGAGAAACAGTATACCTCCTCAGTAAACACCAAACACCAGATACACTGCTGCAAGGGAATCTGTAAGGTGGTTATAGGAAGGACTAAAGGTCTGGGGGGACTGGAAAAGCTGGAGTAGGTGCACCAGTCAAGTCTCAGGGAACCAGGCAGATAAAGTCCAAAGGCTAACCACAGTCAGATACTGGAGAGTGGAATCAAACGGTTTCTGTGTACTAAAGACAATCTGTGACAAAACATAGAGTGATAAGCCTACAGCCTATGTGAAAGCAGAGTGAAGCTTTTATTCTATAAAGAAACAAAATATCCTTTGTTCCACCTCCTGTTGAGTTTTCTGTGAAATAAAGAATTGTGCTGTTTGCCTTTCACAAGCACTGGTGTCTGACTTTTTGGTAAAGGTTTATATCTGACAGTTGTCCTCCATCCATCCACAAGAAATATAAACCCCAAAGAGACTACTTTTTAGTGTGAACTGGTCAGCCAAGAGAATGTAAAGGTGATCAGTCACTTTAGAGTACAATCTCTGAATCCAGTATGATATACAGGGACACCCCAACTCGGTCACGGCAACAGCCAGGAAGAGGTGGTTGTATCATAGTAAGCAACCATAGTTTAGTAGCACAAAACCAAAAACTACAGTCTGGTCTGAAAAAGTTTAAGCATAATTCACATTTTTAACGATAACGGTCAAGTAAGGAGAACCCGTTACTTATAAAGAATTTTCAATAAATATAGATTTATTTTATTTAAAATTTTATTCATTTAATGTAATTTATTTAACAACAATGTATATTGAATGAAAGCTTTTTGAAAATAAAAAAATTCTAATTAGTTTTGATTACGTTTCATATATTAAAATAGAATGAGACATTATAGAAATGAAAAATATGTAAACCACATATTTGGATATTACTAACTAGTTATACAATAACTTGTAGTAGGACATCTGTGTAATCTCTAAATGAGAAATTACTTTTTAAAAAAGTATAATAAATCACTTTGTATGCCCTGCAAATACTTTTGCAATCAAATGATATGCAATAGGCAAAAATTTAGCAGGTACATCTAAATGAATTTTTAGAATAAGCAGATGTTACAGCATCTAAAAGGTCAAAGTAACTTTAAAAATTCAATTTAGTTGCTGGATTTTGAGGGTTTTTCCCCTTGTTCTTTGTTTGTTTTTGACAGAAATAAAAAAGTCACAATGATGTGTGTAAAATAAAATATACACATTTTCCAGGGCCAGATTTTCTCACGCTCTAACTACTCAGTTCAGGCATCTTTGTGTGAGTTTAACAACAAAGTCAGCTTCTGAAGCATCCTCTTGATTCCTGAGTTACAAACAATAATTTGTTTTGTTGATTATTGCTGAAGTGAAAACACATGAAGTTTACCAGAAGAGTCACTTAAAGATGTACTTTCATGTAGTGGGCACTGACAGAGACATGTGGGGAATTACTATGGTTTCAGTTTCTCAATACATGTGTACTCTGGGGTAAAAGTATTTCCAAATATATTCAAGAACTCTACACCAATATGCTAAAAAAAATCACAGTAATCAATCACTGTATGCTTTCATTTTTTTATTTTCCAATGCTATATCCATGACAGACCAAACTTTTAATCTCACACATCTCCCATATTTCATATATTTAAGGCTATTCTGCAAATAACAAATATTAGTTCATTATATAGGATGCAATTTTACTAATATCCCAAATTCTATTCAAAAGCAAGTAAACTATGTTTATTTAACAAATGTCAAAAGGGACTGAACAGGCAACATTCTAAACCTTTATTAAAATGTCTTAAAGACTGTCCAGGCCAAATTATTTTAACATTCGACATCCTAGATATTTGCCATATCTGAGAGCATCTGCCAAAACATGGGGGGGGGGGGAACCAAAAGGATTAATGTTGCTGACCCGTTGGAGGCATACATAACAGTGCCCCTCTTGTCTCCCCCACCCCATGACAGCCACAACCATGTAAATATTATTTTTTTTAAATTCCCCAAGAATTCCTTAATGTATTCACAAAATCTTCATCATCTATCATTCCAAGACTTAATCCTTCATAATAATCCTCAAACTCACAGAATAAAACTTCATTGGGATTGCTGCATGCATCCTCCAGGGTCTCCAGAAACGAAGATTTAATTTCTTCCTCTGTAGCATTACCTGTTCAATAGTAATATTTTAACACAGAAGTATAATGTAGCTAAACAGAAAACTCAGTGCATACCCATGTTCCCTTTTATAAGAAAAAGTGGATTAATGAATGAGAACTGAAGGAATTAAGGCAGGAACCTCAAATGCAATCTTGGGGAAAGTGATCTTAGATTTTTATCCTACCGCTACTCCAAGCCATAGATATATCAGATAAGCAAAACAACCTTTTTGGAGTTTGAGGATATTAATTTAAGCAACAATTCTTGGAAAAAATAAGTGTAGGACAGTGGTTTTACAAGCCATCAACCAAAACTGCTATCTATACATAGCAATCTAAAATTAAATAAACATTCTTTTCCCCAGGAATCAAATTAAGGGGCCCACAAATTTTATCTGGTTTTATAACCCACTAGTAATTGATGTTGCTTTCACCCGTTCTGATAAATACAGACGACTTAAATGAGCAGAGGGGGTCAACCTTCCATGCTAAATTAGGAGACACTCAAAAGGCTCAAAAATCTCATCACTTTGCAGTGTGACCAAACATGACCTTAAGTGAGTGAACAACCCTCCCCTCCCCCCATGCTCCAATGGACTCGGGAGAAAGGGGAGGTTCTGCCCCTTTATGCCAGGTACTGGAACCTGTTACAAACAATAACAAATGGACTGTGTAACAGAAGAATGCTAAGAATTGCTTCTTTGCATGTTAAATACCTGCTAGAACTTGAGGATGTCTTCTAGCACAATAACATTTCTTGATATCTACCATAGGTACACTACCAGTTTTGCTGTAATCCAGTTTCATATATGCCTGAACAACAACAATAATTGGAAAAGTATGAATGTCCACAAGCGTACAAAAGAACACTTTAAAAAAGTATAAAATAACCAGATGGTGGTTTTCAATGGAAAGAGCTGATACAACATTAAGAGACAGAAAAAGATTTTAACACATAAAAATAAGAAATGCAGAATTTACACTAGCTGTAATTCTGTACCCACCTTGGACCCATTTACTCTGGAAAAAGGTGGAACAGAAACTGAATACATAAATGTCAGGTATACTTAACTGTACTATTTTCAATGTAGGTAAGAGTTTGTAACTGAATTTGTCTTATGGCAAAATACAGGTCTTCAATACCCAGGAATTTGTTGCATTTTTTGGTTCATTAACACATTTTTCTGCCTGTTACATCAACAGTAAAATATTTTCTCACTTACGCATGCATTTTCTCACTCACTGACATTTCTGTTCACATGACCCAGAAAGAGAAATCATTTCTCTCTTTCTCTCTTGTCCCCACCCCCAAAGCTGTATTGGTTTGAAGCTGTTAAAAATAGGAGCTATATTTCACAAGATCTAATGCTTAAAATTGTAAGTTTCAAGGATCAGAGAAGTGACAGCCAGTGTGGTCTAGTGTGAGAGTGTTGGACTAGGATCTGTAAGACCCAGGATCAAATCCACTCTCTGCCAAGGAAGCTTGCTCAATGACCCTTGGGCCAATCACCATCTCTCAGCTGCAAGAAAACATATAGGCTTCACAAGTGATTTTCTTGAAGACAATAGCTGTACTGAAATTGTCAAGAACAGAACCTGCATATTTAAAGGTAGCACCTCTCTGATTAACAGAAGCTGAGGCCAACTGAAAAAGAGGGGATGGCTATCTACCTCTTCTCCCAGTTCCCAGGGGCATCTGTCTATCCACTGTTGGCACGATCAAGCAAGGCAGTTCTCATAGTCCTGCCTTCTTGGCATCCCTCTCTTCCAGTCTCTTGCTTGTCCACTTTCGTCCTACACCCAGTATTAAGCCCTATCTTATCTCAAAGGAGGTTTTCCCCTCTCTCTCATACAAAGGGCATTCCCCTCTTTTTAACACGTGGCAACATTTTATTATGGGAAGTACATGTACATGCTTGTACGTGTGCGCATACATGTGGGGAGGAGGCGTGGCTCAGTGGCAGAGCATCTGCTTGACATGCAGAAGGTCCCAGGTTCAATCCCTGGCATCTTCAGTTGAAAGGATCAGTAAGAGATGATGTGAAAGACCTCAGCCTGAGACCCTGGAGAGCTCAGTCTGACTAGACAATACTGACTTTGATGGACCAAGAGTCTGATTCAGTATATGGCAGCTTCATGTGTTTATTTGTCCACAACTGAAACTTGTCCATCAGAGTGCCTTTGAACATTTCAGGACATCACACTAATTCAATCCATGTGTATTTACAGACAGATGACAAGTGGCAAGCAACTGTCTACAATGGCCAGCTCTTTAGGCCACAGCTACCTTAGGCAGGAATAGTGCGAGCTGCTAGAGTACACAGGGATAAATTGGCAAGCAACTTGACCCATCTAAGGATGGGGAAGACCAGAGGTCATTTCGGGGGGGATCGTGGGGGATCGCAGTTCCCCCGGGTGAGGTACGGGGGGCGGGGCACATGACGAAGCCCCGCCCCCTGCTTCTGGATGCCCCGCTTCCGGCCCTTATTCAGCCAGGAGGAGGCAGGAGAAGAGGGAGGGTAAGTTGCTTCCTCCCTGCCTCTCCCCACCCCTGCCTGCCTGGGACCAGGGTGGGGCTTCCTTGCACTCCTGCCGGCCTTGCAGGTCCACCGCCGGGCCCCTTATGGGGCTTGGCAGTGGAGCTGCAAGGCCAGCAGCGGCCGGGACCGCTGGGGGCGGGGGTGGCCTTATGACACACTCCTGGTGATGTCAGGGGGTGTGGCCTTATGACACACTTCCGGTGATGTCAGGGGGTGTGGCATATGCTAATGAGTTATGCTAATGAGTTTCCCTAGCTCTTTTTCTACGAAACAACCCCTGGGGAAGACTCTTCCCAAACTAGCCCACTGGTGGCTTAAGTTGCTGGGTGAGCTGCAGTGAGAAAGCCCTTGATGGTTGAGCAGCATCAACTGAGCCCTTAGATGCTCGAGTGGCATCTTGCGGAAGGGAGATGAGGCTTAACACTTCTTGGGACTGCTTGTATTCATCTGAGGCCGTCAGGAATGCTGACTAAAGCTTGGAGCCAGAGTGGGTGTCAGGTTTTGCGTTTGGGCTCCCTTCCACCAGTCCAATGCCTTGTACAGCAGGCTGCTTACTTGCTCTTTTTAAGGCCTCAGCTATGGAAAGGGGAAGGTTTGAAATTCACCCCATCCTCTTCTTTTGCTAGCTCCTCTGCTACTGAGAGCCCAGACTGGTCTGTCCTTGTTGGCTCTCCTTGACTGTTAAAGGACAACCAAAAGAAGAAGCAGGTCAACATACAGTTGATAAAGTTCCTCATCAAAGGCTCCTAAGTAAGCTCAAAAATCATGGGGTAAAAGGACAAGTCCTTTTATGGATCAAAAACTGGCTAATTAATAGAAAACAGAGAGTGAGTATAAATGGGCAGTTCTATCAGTGGAGGGGGGTAAGCAGTGGGGTCCCGCAGGGATCAGTTCTTGGTCCACTGGTTTTTAACTTGTTCATTAATGATTTGGAGTTGGGAGTAAGCAGTGAAGTGACTAAATTTGCGGATGATACAAAGTTGTTCAGGGTGGTGAAAACCAGTGAGGATTGTGAGGCACTCCAAAGGGATCTGTCAAAGATGGGCAAGTGGGCGTCAACATGGCAAATGGGGTTCAATGTGGCCAAGTGCAAGGTGATGCACACTGGAGCCAAAATCCTAAATATAAATACACGTTGATGGGGTCTGAACTGGCAGAGACTGATCAAGAGAGAGATCTTGGAGTTGTAGTAGATAACTCACTGAAAATGTCGAGACAGTGTGTGACTGCAATAAAGAAGGCAAATGCTATGCTGGGGATTATTAGGAAGGGTATTGAAAACAGATCAGCCAATGTCATAATGCCCCTATATAAATCAATGGTGCGACCTCATTTGGAATACTGTGCGCAATTCTGGTCACCAAAGGATATTATAGCTTTGGGAAAAGTGCAGAAAAGGGCAACTCGAATGATAAAAGGGTTGGAACACTTTCCCTATGAGGAAAGGTTAAGGCGCTTAGGGCTCTTTAGCTTGGAGAAACGATGACTGAGGGGTGACATGATTGAGGTTTATAAGATTATGCATGGGAAAGAGCAGGTAGAGAAAGAGGTACTTTTCTCCCTTTCTCACAATACAAGAACTCGTGGGCACTCCATGAAATTGCTGAGCGGTCGGGTTAGAACGGATAAGAGGAAGTACTTCTTCACCCAAAGAGTGATTAACACTTGGAATTCACTGCCACAGGAAGTGGTGGCGGCTACAAGCATGGACGGCTTCAAAAGGGAATTAGATAAGCATATAGAGCAGAGGTCCATCAGTGGCTATTAGCCACAAGGTATAGATAGGGACTCTGTGGCAAGTGATGCTCTGTCATCTTGGTGCTTGGGGGGGTCAACAGTGGGAGGGCTTCTAATGTCCTGGCCCCACTGGTGGACCTCCTGATGGCGCTGGTATTTCTGGCCACTGTGTGATACAGAGTGTTGGATGGGATGGGCCTTTGGCCTGATCCAACATTGGCATCTCTTATGTTCTTAAGTTCTTATGTTTATGTTTCCTGGCTCTCACAGTAATTTAGGTAGGCCTTCCCCCAAGAGTTGAAGTGTTGATTGAATGGTAGCTCCAATTTCATACATCCCTATTTTAATCCCTTTCTTTCTTGTTTTTAACCCTGTAATTTCTCTCCTGATCCATCCTTCTGCTGGGCCTTGGCTGTGTTGCTGGCCCCTAGCCAAGTAGTCAGTGGGGTTTACACCATGGCTGGAACACTGCTGTTCCACCTGGCCTCCCAATGGCTCAGATCTGCCACTAGTGGGAGTTGGGGGTATCCCAATAATGGAGTTGTCCCAAATGTTGCTTATTAGGAGCTGATGCACACTATTTTAGACATCTTTTGTGCTGCAGATGAGGCATTAATAATGAAATGAACTAGTTAACCACACATTTGCCTCTCATATCCTTATTCATGACTAATCAATTAACTAATCAAAAACTTTTGCTGTTTATTGCTGGATCTTGTCTCCAAGGTGTTTAAAAAGCAACAACCTCTGATATTAAAATCAGCTACGAAATTAAAGGTCAAATGAATTAACCTTTTTGTCTACATATATATGATCAATCTTAAATGCAGAAATATAACATTCAATAAAACATCAAGTTCCTTATTAGCACTCAGCTGTCCCTAGACTGATAAAACAGATAAAATAAACTTACCTTTCTGACAAATGATTTTCTGTATTCATTCATTTCTCCAAGGATGGCACGGGTAAATTCAAAGTAATCAATTTCACCACTATGATAATCAAGTATTAACCACAAAGACTCAAAATCCTATAATTTAAAAAAGTTTGGGTGAACAGAGATACAACTCAACATAAAGATATAAACAAATAGAACAAGTCACAAAATGAAAGAAAGACAGAAAGCAAATTATTGTTTCAAGATTGTTTGAAGAGTTTTTGTTGAACGCTGCATACTAAAAACAGATTATCATCAATTTTAAGGTGTTAGATCCAGCCTATTCCTGACAGGTCCTGATTATAGCTTTTCATTCAACATATGCAACACCAGTTTGGCTACAATTATGTTAACTCAGTTTTCTCTAAGTTAAAAACTGATCCCAGGTAAGTGTAAGCTAGGATAATAATGGCAGGAAACAGAAACAGCAGAATCCCAGGGAGTTATCATACCCTTAATCCACCCTGAAAAAGGCAATACACATGTTTCTCAAGTGACAGATAATTTAAACATTCAGTAATCAGCAATATTAAGCACCATCATGTACCAACATGGATACATACTTCAAACACCCAATTTTACCATGGCTAGTCCAAGGTCACTTACAAGGTTAGGAAGTCATAAGTTATTTGACCCAGCTTAGATGTTATTGGAAAACTATCCTCCCCACTTCCCCACAGAATTATGGTGCTTCTGTACAGCTTCTGGGGTTTTTTCCATCTTTCCCAGGATTTTTCCAAACCTGCTTTGCTGTGATGTCTTCCCAGTCTTGCCCCAATCAGTACAATTTCCCCTGTCCCAGTCCCCCACAGTGGCCATTTCCTCCCTGTGACCAGACGTCCCCCCCCCCATTGGCAGTTGAATATCATTATAGCATTAGGACTTTATAACAATCTGTCTATCACTTTACTTGAAGTCCCAGCTTTCATTTTTTTTAAAGTCTCTTGCCCCCTTACATTGTTGAGAAAAGGGGCTAGAGACGTTTAAAAATATCCAGACTAGGAATTCAGAAAACCTGACATACATATATATAATGTTACAACAATAGTCAAGAGCAATTTTTTTAAAAAATCTAAAAAGCCCCTCATATTCCATGCAGATATGGTGGTGAATTTCAAACAGATGATATAATCTGGAAGAGGAACAGTTCCCAAACGGTTTCTGGTCTGTCATTTCAGACAGAACCGTTTTAGAACCGGTTCCCTACCGGAATATATTTGTAATTTCAAACACAAACGCTTCTGTCCCGTTTAGGAAACAGGGCTGAAGCGTTTTATCTGTCAACCGCTTCCAAGTAGTCTTCAGTTTCCTCTCCCAGTTCCGATGTGCTTTTTCCCGCCATTTTTTGCCCATGCAGGCGATCTCCGCCTTTTTTTTAACGTTCGCTTTATAGCATTATAGCGCTATAATGCTATAACGCAACAGCATTATATCAATCCCATTGGAATGCCTGGGGTGTTTTGTTATAGTGCTATAGCACTATAAAGCAAACGTTAAAAAAAAAGCAGCTGGAGATCGCCCGCACGGGCAAAAAACAGCAGGGGGAAAGCAGGAAAAAGCGGTGCAGTCTGAAGTGGCAAACCGCTACAGATCCAGCTCTTTACCAGAAGGGGAAAGCCATGTGTGAAATGGCAGCCCTATACTGGTTTACTCCATGGCAGATCAAAAACGGCTTCAAAACGGGTTAAAAAGGTAATGTGAAATTCCTCGGTGAGTATGCAGATTCTTACCAATTTATTAAGTCTTACAACCAATTCTGCTAACCATCAACAATGAAGAGCCATAGTCCTTAAGATAAAATTTACTATTATAAATTGTCTGTTCTTTGATACCTATTCTATATTGTATAAATAAAATATCTTTGCTTTGTTTAACTGTTCTAGGCTGGTGCTGAATTGCAGTTTAAAATGTTCCTCATGATTGGTAAGGTACAGAATGTCGAATCTAAGCAGAATAGATATACAAAAGCTGGAGATATTCATCCAAATTTTTCTCTTTTAACTTTTGGCACATAGTACCTTCAAGCTGGCTTACTTTTACCTAAAAGACAGGATGTCACAAACCTGTACTTATTATATAAAGTCCTAAACCACCTCCTGCAAAAGTATGCTCCTCTAAAGTGGGACAGAAAAGGTCTACACAGAGCTACTGCCAGTAAGCTGAGCCACAGCCCAAAGCAAAGGAATTCAGCAAGAAATGGGAAGACCACGTCTGATCAGGGGATTGTGAGACTGTCTGAAATGAACAGGTTTGTGACAACATACTTGTTCAGGCACTTCTACATGAAACACTTTCAGCGCATGCTTGAAGTCTGCTTTGGTAAGCACTCCATTCTGTTTCTTTTCCAGCTCTCTGAAGTACTTTCCTAATCCTGTTACAATACGAACTCCTCTTTTAATTAATTTTTCTTTCAGCTTATCTGGGGGAACACACAAATGTAAAATATTAAATATATAAAATTTTTAAAATGTAAAATATTTGAATGAAGCCATTTGCAAAATAGCATATGAATAGTGTATGATTCCTTACATGGACTCAGACAACTGGCCCATTTAACTCAATAGTGTCTATTCTGGGTAGCAGTGGCTACTCCAGGTTTGGGGGAAAGGTCTTTCCCAACTCTGCTACCCCATATACTTTTAGCTGAAGATGATGAAAATCACTCTGTGACCTTTTACACGCAAACCATGTGCTCTAAAAGAGAACACAACAGTCTACTCTTGACAGGCAAAAGCTCTCCAAGGTTTCACCCAGAGTCCTTTTCCAGACTTGAGAGCTTTTTAACAGGAGCTCTCAGAAATCTCCCCTCTGATTCCAACACATGCATGTTCTACCACTGCTCAAAAAGAGAACATCTTTTAAAAAACCAAAAAAAACAAGCAATACAGAAATAGACAGCTACAAACCCCAGAGTTCTGTGCCACATATTAATTACATTTGCTTTATTATAGAGCCCTGACCTGGATGGCCTAGGCTAGCCCAATCTCATCAGGTCTTGGAAGCTAAGTAGGGTCAGCCCTGGTTAGTACTTGGATGGGAGACCACCATGGAAGTCCAGGGTCACTACACAGAGGCAGGCAATGGCAAACCATATCTGAATGTCTCTTGCCTTGAAAACCTACAGGGTCGCCATAAGTCAGCTGCAACTTGATGGCACTTTCCATCACCACTTCTAATAGAAAGCCAATTTTCTGAGGAGGAATTCTACTGACATTAACAAGACTATTATTGAATAACATAATGCTTTTAAAAAGAACCCTCAAGGCATACAACCTGTAAATCAAATGGGATACTCAAACCTTGAACATTTCGGAAAATTTTCTTGACATCATCATCCTGTTTGATACAATGTTCTTCAATTTCTGTATCTACAACCCTGTAAATATTTATTAAGCAGTCTCATTAAACATTAACATTCACAATATATCTTCTACAACATCTGAAAAATGCTTTACATCAGATAAGCATAATTCAAGAATTTTTTAATTGGTTTATTAAAAAGTGTCAAAAAAGTAACCTTTGCTAGGTAGTACCAAAATGTATGTTTAATCCCCTGGATATATTCTGGGCTTCAACATTTCAAACTAGGCAGGTAAATTAGAGTCTATTAAGGAACATCTAGGCCATATTGTACTATATAGTACTTTATTGTTTTAAACAGAATTTAAACAGACATTTATATTCAGTTCATCCACAAAATTTTAATCTACCAGTAATTTAAAGATTCGTTTAAATCCCGTTTGTTTTTTTTTAAAGCAGCTAAGACAATTAAAAAACAAAACAAAGCAAACAGTTCTGAACTTTCTTGGTTCAGCAAACTCTCCAAGATACTGCCCCTTCCCTTAGGTAAGATTTGAAGTATTCTACTTGAGAAATGATGCCACAAAGTCATCTATTTATAGTTACAAACCAAATTGATCATTTGAATGAATGAACAGATAGTTAATTGTGAACTTTAATTGCATCTTGAGACAAGCTATAGATTTATAATGACTCAGTCAATTAAGAGTCAGCAACCTCCAGTTCATGTTGTGTAAACAGTCTTCATGGATGTGTTGCTGCATCAACTCTCTTATTGGACCAGGTATCTAAGTCTTTAATTTGGCAAAGACCACATCAGCACCTACCTAAGATCCGGCGGGGGACACATGCTTCCCCACCGGAAGATTCTTGCTTGGAACACAGGCCTGCAGGAAACCATAAATCACCATCTGTGGCTTTATTATGATTTTATTTCTTGTTAACTGTATTTGAATTTTAAATTTTGTACTCTGTTTTATGGCAATTTGCCTTTTTTGTACATTGCCCAGAGGTAGGGCGATTAATAGATTGAAGTAGTAGTAGTAGTAGGAAGAGGAGGAGGAGGAGGAGGAGGGAAAGGAATAATATATTCCTTTTAATCCAACTTTCCAAAGTTAATGGTCTCTTATTTGAGCTAGATTAAATATTACATGAAGCCAAGAAAGACATAAATGGCAACTTACCTTCCTGTTTCATTATGGTATCATTTTTTTTAAAGTACCCATTAGGTACACTTTTATTATTTTTCATATTATACACAAACAAACATACCTACAACATATAACAAACATCCACTAACATACATAACATACATAACATACATAAAACATACAGAGAGATCAGTATATTATCTTATACCCTATTGCCATTTTTTTAAAAAATTAATCGTTTTCTATGAGTTTGCTCAAGTTTCTGTATACTCTTATCTTTTTACCATAGTTTCTATTTAACCAAAAGAGATTAATAATACCAAAAACTTCATTACTTTAAACTATGCATTTGTATTGTACCAGTCATACAGTTTTTTCCACGTCTTTTGAAATGTTAAGTCTGCTGCCCCTCTCATCAACTATGACAGTTTGTCGTTTTCAGCCGTCTCCAAAAGTTTATTCACATATTCTTGCTTCTTTGGTACTTCCATTTGTTTCCAATATTTTGCATATAATATTCTTGCTGCCATAGATAGGTGTACTACCAAATATCTATCACCTTTATCAAAATCCTTTGGAAATATATTTAGTAATAATATTTCCAGTAAAAATGGTATTTTTATTCAATTAATTTCGTTTATTTACTTACTTTATACCCTGCCTTTCACCCCAATGAAACCCAAAGCAGATTACATTGTTCTCTTCTCCTTCGTTCTATCCTCACAACAACCCTGTGAGATAGGTTAGGCTGAGAGGGTATAACTGGCCCAAGGTCCCTTAGCAATCTTCCAGGGCAGAGTGGGGATTCAAACCTGGGTCACCCAAATCCTAGAATGACACTTGAACCAATATACGACACTGGCTCTCTGTGACCAAGTGAGGAATGATGTCTGCCTATCCCCTTACCCCATCCCCTGCAGCGGGCAAGAGCAACCCTAGTCACATAACACCGTTTTCCTCCTGACCACCTGATGTAACTGTAGGCTAGGCATCTCTGAACAAGAATACAACAGTCATTCATGCCACAGGTACACTGCCCAGTATGACCCATGCAAATACATTGTAAGTTCACTACAATTTATTTCTGAAAAGTTATTTAAGTCGTCTCACAACAGCGATTGCATCTGCAACTAGCATAAGTATCAATCTATTAAAGCATTTTTGTTCCAGTATAGCCGACTTTTTAAAATACTCGACTGTTATTTGACCAATATTAATTTGGCCAGTCAATTGAACAATTTTTTAAACTAGCCAAATGCCCAACTATTATTTATTTATTTACTTATTTAATTTATACCCCACCCTATCCCACGAGTGGACTCAGGGCAGCTTTGCTCCCCTCTTCACCAAATAAACCTCTTTTATGGCTGCACTCTGAGCCTTATGCCAGACATGAGAGGCAGAAATCACTGTAAAGCAGATTACATTTGTTTAATTAGAAGCTCAGTTGCTATTGTTCTCCATCTTTTACCTGTTCCTTATATGTTGACTTTAAAGAAAAGTCAGAAAATAACTACTTACTTGCAGTGCTATCATAAGCAGGGATATACCCTTCTTAAGTACATTGACACCAATGAGCTTGGAAGGATGTAATTCTGCTTAGGAAGGCACTGTGAACTCAACATTTTCATGTTTACATGGAACCTTTTAAAAAGTGGAATTACTGTGTATCCTCCCAGCGGATCTTAATAACTGGAATTCCATACTGTCTCTGACCAGGCACAAAGCTTTGTTGTCTGAGAAATACAATCAAAAGCGCCAAATCTGCAAAAATATTGAAAAACAAATATCTTGGTGATAATATTTTCAAGACAGGAATTGACATCAGACCACTTGTACTTACTTCAGAAAATCTCTAGCAGTTTCATCAATATTTGTGACACGGACTGTAAATACTGGTTTTTGTTTAATGCTTTCTGGAAGGCCAGGATGGTGAAGGCTCAAAAAAGTCAGATTTGCTCCCTGTGAGCAACAACGAAAGAGTGATTAACAAGTTCTTCTTTCTTTGTCTTATTTTTCCTAAAATGCAATTCAATCACTACTACTATCTTCATTGAGACAAACTATTTCACATACGTATGACTTACGAGAAGAAGTAAAAAGCACAATGATTTTTGACTAGAGTGCAACTCAACATACATAATCCAGTTGCTCTACGCAACCTTCCCTTCCAATACCTTCCGGAAATATCAGGCATGACACTCATTGCTTGTCCATCCCTGACATCTGAACCATTCTTACTCATTCTACCAACCAACCCCACTTCACCCCAATCTCTGTGATAAAATAATGACTTAAACCATTCTTTCTACACTATACTTTTATAGTAACCTGAAGCACACAAACTACGGTAAAGGATAGATGAATGGCTGGAAAGACTATGCTGAGATAACATGAGGAATTGGAGAACAAGGAAAGGAGAGAGAGGTGAAAAGGCAAGCAGTCCTTTCAAATGCATTTCTAAAGCTGTAATGAACACACATCTGCTATGATAGAAGAAATAAAGACTTGATTCAACTAGGCCAAATACATATGCTTGTAGATCTAATTGGATCTTGTTCTTCGCTCAAAACAGCAATTGTTCCAAACATACACACATCTAAAACATCAGATGTTAAAAGCCATCTGGATTTTTTTTAACAACTCCATTTTAAAAACTTTGGTGTAAGCTGTCTTAAGCACCTTTTTCTTGAATTGTTAGATAAGAAAATATCTGTACCTAGGCAACTTAGAACTTAAACAGAGTGTATATTGTGTGGGCAACATCCCTCTATACAGGGAAAATTTTAAGTCACCTTAATGTGCATATTATGTTTTTTATTTATATAAAATTTAATTCTTAAAATTGTTTCTGTATGGTCTTGATTTACATCTCCACTATACACATATAAAGCTGTGGCTACTGTACTGATGTCCATATGACCCCTTCAGCCCTGGAAAGCCCTGCACACACCTGGGATCCAGAGACAGTTTTGCCCAACTGCCATATTGGCAGTAAGGCACACCATTAGATTTTTTTGTCTGAAGTGTTAAAAAATAGAAATAGCCATTAAAAAACTATCAAGTCATATAGTTATAAAAACACAAAAAACACGAACTGCTTTGAATAATCCTGTCTTGACTGCTACTGATTGCCCTCTTGTGGGAAAAGCAAGACACACAGTGTTATACTGGTGATATTATAAATTTTACAGCTATTTATTCAACAGAACAAACCTAAGATTCAGATACAAAATGCAAATATAGTGAAAACAAAAAGCTTCATTTTTTTCAATATTAGTCCTGAAGAACCAGAGTAAAATTCTTCCTAAACATTTTGGATTTTGATCTAGAATGACCAAAATGTTTAAAAATATCAAAGCAGTACCAAAAACTATGGGATCAATTCCTCATGGATTCTGTCACTAGAAAAGTAAATAGATCGGCCTTGAAACCTGTGGTTAAACCCATAATGGAAAAATGGAACCCCATTTTAGAATTCCTAGCATCAGAAGATATTCTGCCTCCTTCCTGGCAACAAATGCAGAGATGGGTGTAATTGTTCTTGCGATATGATAAACAATATTGGATTGCTTTATTAACTGTTTCCTCGTTTATGCTTCTTTCATGCATGGATAGTATTTATACTTAGGTTCATAAATCTCTGTAATTAGTGGACTTTCTGATACCTCGAAAAGTTTCATGTTAATTTGACTCCGTTAATCTGTTTCAAAAGTTGGTATGAACTGTTCGGACTCTCGATACTTCAATGTGTAAAGGATCAGTTATTTTTTTTTAACATATTGGATTTACATTATATTTGTTATATGATAAAATAAATAAACTATATAAAAAAATCAAAGCATTAAGACTTATAGTAATAATTCCCAAATGGATCAAATCATTGCTCTAACAAATATGTCAAATCTATCTCTGAACACAGTGTCCATTGATAACATGCAGGAAAAGGATAAAGATATGAACACCAAATCTTAGTCCTAATAGTTACAAAGGATTAGTCCTTCTTTGGTCATTATTATGAGGTTCTGAATACTTACAACATAGAAGTCATTAAGACTGTACTGTTTTCCTTTCCTTTGTCCATGCTGATGACCATAAACTCCCTTCTGAATGAAAGGTAGAGCATTTGTCCTATGGGGGGGGGGGAAACATTTGAGGTGCCTCTAGTAAACATTAATAGTTCAATAATATTCTGAAGAAACCTTTCCTTTTTATACATACCTATTTTTACCAAATTGCCGATACTCATATATAGTTAGAGACTTATCATAGGCAAAGAAAAATCCAATCAATTCTCGACAAGCATCGCGTCCATTTCTATAATGGTAACAGAAACCTTCATTAGGTGTTATATTTAAGTATAATCCATTCCATACTTTCTGGAGCTATTTGTATACAAGGCTTATTAGATGCAATATTACCAACTATTACCAGTGCAATCCTATGCAAAATTACTATGTTTAAGCTTACACCGGAGCAACTCTTCATAGAATTGTACTAGTAGACAGATTTGCAAGGTTCCTAAGCAAAATTACACCATTCTAAATCCACTGACATCAATAAATATAGAAGGGTGTAATTCTGCTGAGAATGGTACTGATAGTTCCTGGGTTGCAGGCAGAACATACATTAAAACAAACCCCATTTTATGTGGGCTTACATAAAGATATATTTAACTGTGAAATATACTTTCTACTGGAGAAATATCCTCCAAAATATAATCATAGCTTCAAAGACAGTAATTTACAAACATGACTTCCCCACATCTTCAGTATGCATTGATTAAAAACAACAAAAATCCTCAGCAGCACCACCTTCTGCATACTGCGCATAACCCTTAGGGAGCAATGGTACTTCCATCAGGAATTCAACATTGAAACTGTGGTTTAGAAGTACCCAATGTGGGTGCTTTCCTGCCCCCACCCACACAACCAGAGGAGAAAGGCCCACAACCAGAGTCCCCACATGGTTGATATATCTGCAACAGGACAGGATTCTGAGCTAGGCTTGTAATAGTACAAACTACATGAACTGGGGCAGAAAAGAGGGATGACTGGAACTACCACACTGCTCTCCTCTCCTCTAAACACATGAAAGGTAATTTGGTCTACAATCTAGGTCTGCACTCACAGAACTATGGCTCTCTTCAACAACAAAAAATGTACTGCAGCAATCCACTGATGCATGTTAGATTGAGGCCATAGTAAACTGATTCTAATTCTCTTATTAGAAGTTATTTGGAATTAAATTGATGCATGAAATATACTCAGTGAGAAGTCCACTCACAGAAGTTAAATGAAATTAAGACTTACCTTGATATTACTCTACCATCAAAGCGTAGCTTGTTAGAAAGCATATTTTCAGTCAATGCTGACCTAGTCCTTATTCTGTAATAAATATATAATTTGTGTAGCAGTAAACTAATATATTTTGCAAGTGTACCACCTCTGGAACTAAAAAAACAATCAGTTTATAAACCATATCAATTAGGAAACAGTTGGGCAAAGACAAAATATGAGATCACAACCCACTTAATTACAGCTGGTGTTAATAAACCATGAAGTTCTAGACGGGGCCGTAGCCAGCAGTGAGGCATTGGGAATGACAACCCCTCCCCAATCTGCAATGCTCCATGCCCCCCCCCTACGCTGGAGCAGGGGAGGGAGAGAAATAGCTCATTACTGTGGCACATAACAGGAGCACAACATCGCCACAAAGAAAAGGAATGCAGACAGGTAGAGACCCACTCCCAGGAAGCTGGGATTGAAATGGGGGAGGGGATGGAGCAGGAATTGTGGTGGGGAATCCAGAGAAGTCCCCCAAAGTGCCCCCTGGTTCCAATTGCATGACCCAGAGCTTGGCCCGTTCTTCCCAGCCGATGGCCGCAGGTGGGTCCGGGCTGCAGTCAATCCCCACAGCAGGGCCCCTGAGCTGCAGGGCCAGAGTTTTCCTCCAGGTGGCCACCCCACATACTGTGGAGCCCCAGAGGTCGAGGGAAGGACATTTCGAGATTGGAGTAGATTGCATCTGGCCTGTGCAGGAGAATCATGGTGGTTCCAGGAGATGGCAGCCTCAGCATCCCAGGGGGGAGGCAGCAGCCACAAGCTGCTGGGCACCTCCCTCACTACCTCACCTGGCCAAGCCCTGTGGGGGCTACCGTTTGTTGGAAAAATTGGCAAAATCGTTAAATATTCAGAGATTGCGATGGATCTTTGCTTCACTGGAGAGGAGGCATTTTCTTATATGTAAAAATCTTTATTTCTAAGGGAAGGGTTCACAGGAAATCTACAAAACAAAGACACCTAAGACTACATCTTTACACTTTGACCACACGGTCTACAACAATGGAGATTCTTCCTTTCTTCTTGACTCCTAGAAGGAAATCACCTAAATGCATTAACCAATGATTGTTAGTAGATAGGCTTCACTTTCCTGGGCTTTCTTCCCATTGGCTCTGTGCCAGGTTCCCTTCCAGGTCAGTCTAAACGATAGCACACAAGGTAAACAGACATAAACCCTATAATGACTTAATTTTAGTCCTTGCAACACACATATTTCCAACACTGCTAACTTCCTCGAAAGGGCAAGCTGACTGGCGCCAGGACAGACCACCCCCAGCCCAAGGAGACCTGAGGTTCTTTTCTGTCTGCTGTCATACTTGTGTGATCAGACAATTGCTGTGATGTTTGATTAGGGGAGAATGCTTACTGAATTTGAACAATTAATAAAATTAGGAGGGAAAAACCCTGCAAAGGTCTAATTTCCAAAATATGCAAAATCTTGATTTCTAATGGGGGAAAACCATCTATGCCCTACCAGAGGAAATGGCAAAAAGATTGCACCTTTAATCTTATGGATTCTCAGTGCAGGAAAATTTGGAACAATAAAAATGATCAACATTAAAATATTATTGTTTAAAATCCTGGCAAGATGGTATATGACACCCCCAAAATTATACTATGTGAATCCCAACAATCACCCCTTATGCTGGAAACACTGTGGTACAGTTGGATCCTACATTCACTGCTGGTGGGATTGTCCCATGGTAAGGGCCTTCTGGGAGAAAACCATTTTGCAGATTAAGAATACCACATACAGTATGGACAGAATGGAGCAGGTGCAGAGGAGAGTGACAAGGATGATCAGGGGCCTGGAGGCCAAGCCCTATGAGGAAAGGCTGAGGGACCTAGGAATGTTCAGTCTGGAGAAGAGGATGCTGAAGGGCTGTTCCAGTTGGCAGCAGAGGATAGAACTTGCAATAATGGGTTTAAATTAAGGGCAGGAAGGTACTGGCTGGATATTAGTAAAAACTTTAAAGAATTGTGCAACAGTGGAATCCGCTGCCGGGGTGGGGGGGCTCCCCCTCACTGGCAGTCTTTAAGCAGCGACTAGACAAACACTTGAAAAAGATGCTCTAGGCTGATCCTGCATTGATCAGGGGGTTGGACTAGATGTCCTGTATGGCCCCTTCTACCTCTGTGATCCTGATTCTATATTTAGTACCTATGCATCCTGAAACAGTTCTTCTGAACTTATGGGAATACTCAGAAATCCCACCTATGAGAAAAGACTTAATCTCTATTTTACTTGTAGCTGCTAAAGCTTTACTTGCTTCCAACTGGAAAAATAAAGATCTACTTTTGACCTCACAATGGTACATGAAACTATGGGATTTTTTTTATTATGGAAAAAAGATCTCAGATCAGCTTCAGCATATAGACAACCCTCTTTATAAATCCACATTCCTAGAGCAATGGTTTCCTTTCTTAGACTATGTGACAAATAGAAGCAACTCAGAAACAACTATTCCAATTGCCTACAGCTTCTTGGCACTTTTTTAAATGAATCCTTATTATGTCATATAAGAAATAACATTATTTACCAACAGTGAATCTTAAAATGTTATATCTATACTGAGCATTGGTTACACCTGTTATACTGCTTGTTATGGTTAATTTTTAGACCTACAGGAAACTTCTTCATTGTTTGTTATTCCATTTCACTCAATCATTATGCTATTACAATACTGCTGTGGCAATTGTTTATGCGTTGTAAAGGTTCCAAAATTAATCAAGTACAAAAATCTGAAAGATCTGAATCCTTAACTACAGGAAAACATGGATGTTTCATGTGTGTTTCTCTACCAAATACCCAGCCTCAGTTCTTTTGCATTTTTCTATAAAAAGGGTGGCTGTTAGCCAGCTCTGTGTGAGACAAAAGGGGTGCAAATCCACATGTACAGCTACCCCTACAATGTGTCAGTAATAGGCTCTTACTATCTGCACCACAGGAGTCCACATTGGTGAACATGCTGCATCTTCTGGAATTCATCTGCTTAACAGGGACAGGCTACATCATGGAGGCTTTCTGCCATTTTTGTGCACAGACTGAATCATTCCATACATGACTAATATGAGGGCATCCTCAGCATGCTGCATTGTGAATGGTGGGTGTTGGTGACATTGCTTTCTTTATTTACATATTTAAAACATTTTTATGCCACCTTTTCACCCAACTTAGGGTCCCCAACCAGTAAAAAACGCACAAAAATGTAGCAACATACACACAACACATAAACAGGGAGGAGGGACACTGACGGAATGCCAGACGAAACACAAAAGCCTTCAATTTGCTGGCAGAAGACAATAATAAATGAGGGCAGATTAATCTTCCTGGGGAGGCAAATTCCATAACTGTGGTGCCACCCATCTAGCATCAGATGATGGGACAACCAAAGAATAGCCCCTGAATATAATCATACTGGTCATCTTCTCTGTTCTGTTATGTGAAGTGATATTTTCTCTTTCAATTTCACTACTAGAAGTGCATAGGGCACCAAAACCAGTATTCAGAACGTACACTGATGTTAGCTGCCACTGTACAGCTGGGACCAATGGAAGGCACTACCCAATGTTAAAAGTTTGGGAAACTTATAGAGTATGAATATAGTAATATAAATTCAAAATTTCAAAGATCCCCTCTACCACAAATATAAGCCTTCATATGTGCTAATCTCCACACAAATATAATGCAGGAAGAGCTGTTCCTTCAAAGATAATGAGCATGTTTATCTGTTTCTGTGCTGCCATTATGAAACACGCACAAAATGTGGATGCCCACCACAAGTATGCAGAAAATGCAACTTTCCCTCTTAAACACCAAGATTAGGGCAAAACATTCAAATGACCTAATAAAGGGTCTGTGGTTTGTGCATCCATCTGGGATGCATCACAGACCAGAAAAGTTGCAAAGGCAACTGGAAAGGTGCCTTTAGTCTCATGGGATTTATGCACTATTTCAGATGCCTTTGCAATGTTACTGGTCTGTGATCTGTTGGTTGCTACGGTAACCTAAAATGGCATCTGAGAAATTTTGGGTTGTTATAGCAACCTGGCCAATTGCCAAGGAGGGGGAAGAGGGATGAAAGAGGAATCAGAAGTATCCCCCTGCAACTCCTCATGGGACACTCCTAATACTATCATAAATTCCAAGGCTGCTTTTCTATGTTCAAAAAACCATTCTTACTCTCCATCCTTTTCCTGTTTTTGTAGCCTCACTTTTTACTAGTTAAATTCATATACTGCCTTTCTTTCTTAGAATGCAAGGTGGCAAACGTTAGTGTCCGAGGAAGCCTGCTGTCCAGCCACTGACAAGATCCATACCAGAGTATCTTCAGCAAAAAAGATGCATCATGTGCCTTCTGACCATACCAGGAAAAAAGATGCATACAGGGTTTAGAGTTTATGGTGGCAGTCACACATGCAAGATAAAGCGGGGGGGAAGCGAGGCTATTTGCTCTGTAGGAATTTGACTCGCAGTTGTGCGATCACACAATCCTTGGAAGCTGCGGGCACAGCCCGCCACAGACGCAACCACAAGTGAGTCGGGGGGGGTGTGTTGCCGTGTGTTTCCGGTGCACTTCAATGAGGGATCGATGATTCATATCTGCGCACTGAGGGCTCCCTATACAGTGTGCAATGATGTGCATACCAAGACCGGGGGGGGGGGGGGGGACGGAACACAACCCATCCCGACGCCATGGGAGCATGCTGGAGCAATCAAACAGGGAAAAGTCTGTCCGTGGCCCATAGCAACCGATTTCCTACTGGACTTTCCCTAGTGTCTTTTTACTCTGCTTCTGCGGCGGAGCAAAACGGGTTGCCGGTGGGGGCAGGGCCCTTCCCAGATGTTTGTGTCTGATCGCGCCCTTTAAATTCGCCCAGCATTCATGCTTATGGTGCGCCTAATTGTGCGTGTGATCGCGACCTATAGGTGCTTAATACGCATTAGTGATAACAACTAAATTAGTGATCTCAGATACTGCTGATCCCCAAGAAATAATACTGATTTATTTAAAAATATTCTGCTTCCTCTGCAACCATCTGAGGTGGCATATATAATTCTAAAATACAGCAAAATTAAGCAAACTTTTATAGAATCAGAAGCCGTAATTAGAGTTGACATGTGTGGTGCAGTAGTTAAGAGTGTCAGACTGGGCTCTGGGGAACCCAGGTTCAAGTCCCCACCCTGCTGTGGAAGCTGGCTAATGACCTTGGGGCAGTCAGTCTTTCAGCCTAACCTATCTGACAAGGGTGTTATGAGAATAAAAGGAGGAGAGGAGAACAGTGCTGTAAGCTGCTTCGGGTCTCCATTGGGGAAAAGCATAGTATCAATATCTAAATAAATGTGTTTTTTTTTAAATCCATGGGAACACAATACATCTCATTTAGATTGGCAGAGTTATTGATATTTTTTTACACAGGCTTCATCATAAGATAGATTAAGATATTAAAAATCAGATAAACTAACACAACAACATAAACTCACTTAGTTTCATGTAATGTTCTTCTCCTAAAGCGCAGAGGTGCTGTCCATAAGCTGGGAAGGATGGGATCCTTCTCACAGGTATCAGTATTTCCATTTTGTTCTGGGTCACTTATTACAGCCCTAGCTCGAAAATAAAAGCAAAAACATATGATAATATGGAAGTGGTTTTATGAAATCAAGTTGTAATTCAAGTTGTAGCAGTTAAGTTCAAAGACACCCTAAGGAAATCTGGAAGACTGGTATTAATAGCTTCTCCTATGCATACAATGTGGGCATGATGACGGATGAAGAAATTACTTCATTATAAAGTCAGAAGAGATCTGAGCAACATTCCATTTAGGGCAATGTCCTCATTTAATGCCTCTTCCCAACAAAAGATATAGTCACAATCCAGTCTGTGTGTTGAGGACTAGAAGCTGATGTACCAAAGGAGGCTAGTGAAGCAAGGAGGAAGAATGGGAAGGAACGACCAGGCTTGTTCCCACTTTTTCTTCTTTCTCATACATCTTGCTGCATAGCTGTCAGCATGATTGTCCTCTAGACTAATGCAGAAATCCCAGCCTTTCTTCATCCTAGACGGAGGAGTCACCTGAGTTGAACCAACAAAATCAGGAATGTGTTGCCAAGGGGATAGGGCAACTGTTTTTCCTTCTTCTTCCCTTCAGACCTCACTAATCGTTGCTTGCCAGACTCCTACAAATTCTTTACAGGCATAGCCATTTTACCTTGATGCATGTGGATGGAGAGACAGGATAGCAGCCATCCTTGTAAAAAAAACCATTTCTTTCAATAAAAGTTATGACAAAAGAAGTATGCTTAACATCTCTGATTCTATACACTGATTTAAAAAAAATCTTACTGAACTTATCAGTTCTAAGTTTCAAGTATTCATACTTAAAATGGGGTTATTCAAAATGGGTTTTTTAATATCGCAGCTAGGTTTTTATGCTTTATGATGTATGCTGCCTTGAGCTGTATTAGACAACTGTAGACATTTATAAATCAATGATAAATAAGGGTACAATCTGGCCAAGCAGTCCAAATTAATATTGATTTCATGTGTTTAACTCTCCCCAACAACATAAATGGGAAATGTTTAACTTTGGCTGGGTTGTGCTTTAAATAAATAATTTTCAGATTACAGGCCGTGGCTGGGTGGCTCAGACTGAGCAGGCTGAAATTAAACCCAGCGAAGATGGAGGTCCTGTGCTTGAGTAGGACCGGGGATGGGGCTCCCGCTCCCGACCTTCAATGGGGCACCTCTGGTGCCAGCTTCAGAGGTTAGGAGCTTGGGAGTGCTCCTGGACCCCACCTTAACGATGGAGGCCCCGGTGGCAGCCACTGCCAGATCGGCCTTTTATCATCTTTGGCTGGTACGGCAGTTGGTTCCTTTCCTTGACCGCAACGACCTAGCTACAGTGATCCATGCGACGGTCACCTCGAGGTTAGACTACTGTAACACTCTCTACATGGGGCTGCCTCTGTCGCAAATCCGGAAGCTGCAGCTGGTGCAGAATGCTGCGGCCAGGTTGCTGGTGGGCGCCCCTAGGTGGGAGCACACCCGACCTGTGCTGAAAGCGCTGCACTGGCTCCCTATAGCATACCGGATTTGCTTCAAAGTGCTGGTGCTTACCTTTAAAGCCCTACATGGCCTGGGTCCGACATACCTGAGGGACCGCATTTCCCCACATATTCCCCAAAGAGCACTTCGGTTGGGGTCACAACACCGGCTGGTGACCCCGAACCCTAAGGAGGCCCAAGCTTGCAGCAACAAGGGCCAGGTCCTTTTCAGTGGCGGCTCCTATCTGGTGGAATGAGCTCCCGGAGGAGATCAGGGCCCTGCAGGACCTTTTGCAGTTCCGCAGGGCCTGTAAGATGGAGCTCTTCTGCCAGGCATATGAGCAGGAGCCACCACTGCCACCACCACTCCATCATAGAGCGATACCGCTGGAGGACCGTGCAACATCTAATTACGGCCCTACCCCTCCATTTCTGCTATGCAAAGTGTTGGGAGTTTTCTATCCTTGCATCCTGATGGTATTGATTTTAACTGTTTTTATTTATATATATATTATATGCACTCTGTGCCTGTGTAAGCCGCCCTGAGCCCGTTCGCGGGAAGGGCGGGGTATAAATACAATTAAATAAATAAATAAATAAATAAATAAATTCAGTCCTATCTGCTAGCATTCTTCCCGCACGAGGTACCTTCCTCCAGTAGTAGCAGACCAGATTCATAAGATTAACCCTTTATTCCTTGCCCAGGAGAAAAACACACGGAGTAGAATTCTACCATTTAGTGAATCTGAACAGATATTTGTAAAATCTCTTACCTACATAACTGATCTATCATTACTTGTTCTACAACAGTTTGTTTTTTTCTCTCTGCTGCAACATCCTCCTGCGAAAACACAACCATTGAAAAGAAAAACATAATTCAAGTAATTCAGAAAATACTGTTACAGGTAAAGTATTCCACATAATAAAACATCAAAAATGGGATCATTTGATACATTTTTGTTATAAAATTTGGACACAGATAAGATTTCTTTACAATGGTCCAGAAATTAGTAATCATAGTTGTCTACAGATAAAAAGACTCATCTTCATTCAGCTAGATGACAAAAAAACATTTTAAGTGTCTGTCATACATGCAAGCTTTATTCTAACAAACAGGAAAACCATTTCCATTCCTTTCCCTTCCATTTGCCATGTCAAAGAATAATGACACAACCTAATTTTTTACTATGGTGATAAAATTAATTTGTAATTCATAAATCAAACACATACATGCTCTGTAGTTAATCATATGAAACTAGAGCCCTATACCAGTGTGATAACAGAGTAACTCACAATGCAATCCTAAATGGAGTTATACTCTTCTGTGTCCATTGAAGGGTGTAATTTAGTAAGGAGCTACTTTTGTTTTAAATTCTTCTTAAAAATTAACAGTACAGAAAATGTCTGTGACATTAGCAAATTACATACGCTTTCCATTAAAATCAATATTTTGTACACCTAAACTAGAACATTGCATGGAGAGGAGATTATGGTGTTAATTCTACTCAATGAGAAATTCCTCCTTTACCTACCCGAATCATAAACTAGAACACAATAGATACATTCTGATTTAAATATTAGTGCAATATTCCCCAGAAAACTTACTGCTTCCAGTTTCCTTACGCTTTGCTTTCCTGTGTAGGGTTTGTTTGTATAGCACTGCTGCAACAGGGCTTTTTCATCAAGCACTGTCAATGCATCAACTGTTTGGTGTTCAGGCTGTGAATCCTATGCAGGAAAACAACATATTATTGAAATATGATTATTAACTACCATGATGCATTTGGATTGGTACTCTTGCTGCTTTCAATTTTGTCTGCAATCCATGAAAAAGGAAACATGTGCTGGAATTAATCACTACATCTTCTCCATACATCTTTCTTCCTTTTGAAATTGCAGGCTGAAGTTTAATGTTTTTCTTATTAATTTGGATAATTGCATGTCACATCTATACATATTCTGTAATGTGGGGTTAGCAATCATGAGAAATTATTCTGAATTTTTCTCATAGTTCACATACAGACATGCATGGAGGGTTTCACATGAGAAGATGTACAGGGAAAGGCACAGCTTTCTGCAAGCAACTTGCAAAATTCAGTCTTTCCCTCCAAGCTGGAGGCATTTGCTTTTGTGCGCCTGGTATATCCAAACAACATGCAGGAAAACTTGTTTCTACAATGATGATTGTGTTATTGGGGTCAGTACAATAGGCTGCAAACCCAGCTTATTTTATGCTGGTAGCAAAGATGCCAGATGATCTTCCAGATTTTTAAAACTGTTCTTCAAAACTTGTTCAGGTGAGAATAACCTCAGCCCAATGTTTTCAGTATAGTTTCCATTTTCAGATTATGTAAGAGTATTACCTTTTGCTCACTAATTTTTCTTGGCAATTCATGAGACTGACTGTTCTTTGCTTTCTTTTCTGCTTCTCTTTGAGAATATTGTTTATATCCTTCTTTCATTTCTGCTTCATACTGCTGATACTTCAGTTTGTATGCATCAGCTGGGGGAGGCAAATTTTCTGGAACTATATTTTGCTCCCACAGTGAAAGCTGAAAGCGAAGAATAATCTGAAATGTTAATTACAACAAATCTTAATCTAAAAATTAATTGCTATTTTACGGGCTATGGCTTAACAACCATTTGCAATTGTAAAACTGGTTCAGAAAAAGACAAAAGATGCTTCTGTAGTGTAGGGTTGGCAACTGCCTGGAAAAAAAACATGTCCTGTCCCTTTTACAGAGGCTTAATGGGATGTTATTTACCAGGTGATGTGATTCACCTTTATGTCCTGAAAAGCTTCAACTCCCCATTTCCACACATTATGCTTCTATTAACAGGACAGGATGTTTTTCTTCAGGCCTGCTGGCAACCCTAGTCTGGTGGGAGTTTTAAAACCATTATTTAGTTGTAGAATTGGAAGATACAGGCTGCTACAATTAGAAAAGGGATGCTAAAAGATTTCTCAACAGGTTAACCTTATACCAATTATGGCAGGCAGATGGGTGAAACTGACAAAATTGATAAAGATTTCTACAAAATCTCACATTTCTACAATACAAATTAGGAATAATACATATGAAACTGTGAACTGACATACTTTTCACACTTTATTAAACCCTGCTTTATTTTCCATGAATGTGCCAAAGCAAAAATAGTTATTTCTTATTACAAAAAAGACTCATCTTTGTTCCCAAAAATTATCTTTTAAAAGTTATTGCCTAATCTGAATCATATTCTGCACACTGAAATTAATTAATGTAATCAACGCTAATTTAAGAAACAACTAGCTGAGGAAAATGATTATAGTGAAGAATACTTTGAAATCAGATTTGAACTTTGACTTAGATTTATTACATTATTAGTATAGCAAGCCTAACTCACTGAACATGATTCAGTATTGTACAAGCAGAAAGAGATCTCCACTTCTCCTAACTTTAGCACACACAATCAAAACTAACATGGGATTCTGAATGCTTTCAGTCATGGCCACTGAAACAAAAGGTACTGCCACATAATGGTTAATAGCTTTATGCATGGAGGTTTTGGGACTGGTTATTCCTGATGGAGTACAATGAATGCACTGAACTCTTTCTCCCTCTGCAACTCAGCACATAAAGGGGAGCTACACTACAGTATGAAGGGTAGGATACAAGACTTTGGCTAGTATTTTTATGGTGGTGATACATGTATGTGTAATGGTGAGCAAGATCATAGCTATCTAAAATAAAATCTTGTTGAGATTTATTTAAAGTAGAAGTCAAATAGTCAGACTTCACAATTTCAGCATATTTTATTTACTATAAAATATTTCAGTTATTCAGATGCCCACAACTAAGGTCCTATCAGAATTATTTCAAATTAAACACATGATGACATTAATTAGCATTGTACAGCAAAGGAGAAAATACTTGAAATTTAATAGCAGTGCCCTAAAATAAACAACAAATCAAAGCATCATTTGTTTTCCACAGAGCATACTTTGAATTATCTCCAATTACAACCCAGCTGACCTGTTGAGTATCATGATGCTGTGCATAAGGACTTTGCAATGGAGTACCCCAGCTAACAGTTGAAGATGAATATGGAGGACCAATATGAGGGTGCCTGTTACTGTATGGGGCATAGAAATCTCCATCCTAAAGCAAAAGAGAACATTTATGATCTTTTCATGTTGAAATGTTTTGCTTTCATAAGTTACTATAAATGATTAGTTACCTAAGAAATTTAGAGGTTCCAGAACATAAAGATTATCGGAAACAAAAGGAACTTGATGAATATACACAGACAACCAAACAAGGCAGATATTTTGTTCCAGGAAAGCTGATCATCTATATCATCTTGTCAATTAGCAGTGGAAAAATTTTTATTACAGAAGTGTGTATGGGCCATGAAATGATCAACCACATAAAGGGAACTCTAAGTTTAAGTAATTCAAAATATTTTTAAAAGATGTATCAGCTTTTGCCTTGGACTATCTCAGAAATTAAAAACCCAGGAACCTACATTACGGAACTCAAAACCTTGAGGCTTCTAATACCTTCTGATGGTATTTTCCTTTGGGCCACCATTGCTATGAATAGCTTCTGCCTGTTATAGAAGGCAGTAATTTATGGCAAATTTAAAACTAAAACATGTTAGCACTTATTCAGGTCTTTATTAAATCTCACTTGGAATAAAAAAATAACTTCTCTTACTAGTGTAAAAACAAGCACCCTTACTAGCGAAACTGTACTAAGGAAGAAGCTGTTCTGGAATTCCTGCCATTGTTCTGTCCTTGGGTCTTCTTTCTCTTCTTGCGCTGAACAGTGCAGAAGGTCAGTTAGAACCTATAAGAATCCTCCTATGCAACTGAGGCTGAACATTAATTATTGAGAGTTCTGTCCATAATACTTTGCTGTGAACATGTTCTCAATGGGAGAAGAAGGGCCCAAAGAAGCTTCCTTCAGATTTCCACAACCTTTCAAAGACTTTTCAGGTCTACTTTGTGAGCACTGTGTGGTTATATTAAACCCAGATCCTTATACCAATCTACTGGAAGTTTTAGCAGCAGAAGAATAAAAACAAAATAGCCCAACACAATCAAAGTGCCTTTAAAAGTTTAATTCTTTATGTTTCTTATTGACACCAACCGGGACAGCAAAAGAAAAAAAATCTAATCTTAAAATAATCAATGTAAAAATTCAGCTTGGTGTATTATTTAAAGGTCATAACTCAACAGTAGCTCATTTATCACATTTACGCACTCAGCAGGATATTTTTTATAAATTTAGAAGAATTAATGAATGAAAATAACAACTGGAGCATGAACTGCAGCATGCCCCCTAAATGTTATTCTAATACTCCTCCCAGTGTTTAAGAGCATAAGAACATAAGAGAAGCCTATGTTGGATCAGGCCAACGGCCCATCCAGTCCAACACTCTGTCACATAGTGGCCAAAAATACCAGGTGATATCAGGAGGTCCAGCAGTGGGGCCAGGACTCTAGGAGCCCTCACACAATTGACCCCCCAAGCACCAAAAATACAGAGCATCACTTGCCCTGGAGTCCCTATCTATACTTTGTGGCTAATAGCCACTGATGGATCTCTGCTCCATATGCTTATCTAATTCCCTCTTGAAGCTGTCCATGCTGGTAGCCACCACCACCTCCTGTGGCAATGAATTCCATGTGTTAATCACTCTTTGGGTGAAGAAGTACTTCCTTTTATCTGTTCTAACCCGACCGCTCAGCAATTTCATGGAGTGCCCACGAGTTCTTGTATTGTGAGAAAGGGAGAAAAGTACCTCTTTCTCTACCTGCTCTATCCCATGCATAATCTTATAAACCTCAATCATGTCACCCCTCAGCCGTCATTTCTCCAAGCTAAAGAGCCCCAAGCGCTTTAACCTTTCTTCATAGGGAAAGTGTTCCAACCCCTTTATCATTCGAGTTGCCCTTTTCTGCACTTTTTCCAAAGCTATAATATCCTTTTTAAGGTGTGGTGACCAGAACTGTACACAGTATTCCAAATGAGGTCACACCATTGATTTATAAGGGGCATTATGATATTGGCTGATCTGTTTTCAATACCCTTCCTAATAATCCCCAGCATAGCACTGGCCTTTTTTATTGCAGTCACACACTGTCTCGACATTTTCAGTGAGTTATCTACTACAACTCCAAGATCTCTCTCTTGGTCAGTCTCTGCCAGTTCCGACCCCATCAACATGTATTTATAGTTAGGATTTTTTGCTCCAATGTGCATCACCTTGCACTTGGCCACATTGAACCCCATTTGCCACGCTGACACCCACTCGCCCATCCTCGACAAATCCCTTTGGAGTGCCTCACAATCCTCCCTGGTTTTCACCACCCTGAACAACTTTGTATCATCTGCAAATTTAGCCACTTCACTGCTTATTCCCGACTCCAAATCATTAATGAACAAGTTAAAAGGCATCGGACCCAGTACTGATCCCTGTGGTACCCCACTGCTTACCACCCTCCACTGAGAAAATTTGGATTCTTCACATGGTCACTTCTGCAAATCATTAAGATTTTTTGATTGAATAAGAAATAACGCTTACCTCATCTTCAGAATCTCCCAACTTCCCCAAGTCAAGGCATGGAACTCTATAGAATAAAATGTAGCAGGATTTCAAAATGTCCCCTTATTTTCAGATATCCCCAGATGTTTTCCTTAACTGTTTTAGAAAGTGCCTACTAGCCCAAACCCTACTCCACTCCATGTGTTTTTTTCTCTCTCAGGAAGCAGAGACAGGGTGAGACGTGAGACTGTTTTCATCCCCAGGAGCCAGGAACACTGGAAGCTTTGTAGGGGAAGGGAGAAAGGAGCGGAGAATCTGAGAGACCAATTTTTATTCCAGCATCAGAATGCTTCAGCCAGTCCTGGTTAATTCTTCTTCACTCTCCACAAAAAAGCAGCAGCTAAACGTCATGTGTTTCTATTACTTCTCTACAACAAATCATAAACTAATAGCAGTTAGCCTCTTACAATAATATATATACATATTATGAGAGTTGCAGTATCTTAATAGTATCCCACTTCTAAGGGAATATATATATAAATAATTATATATACTTTGTGGCTAATAGATCTTTGCGCATGTGTGGCCACCAGAACTGCCTGCGAAGGAGTTGAAGAGATTTGACGAAGCACCAGTGGCCAGATAGTTTAGAACCACGTGCAGAGTGCAGAATTTCCCTGCGAAGAGAAATTGGGACGTAAAGACGGTGGCTGGAGTAAACAAACCCCTCGGGGTCGCGCACACATTCAGGAAATGCACGAATCACAGTCTCATCATCACTAGAAAAGGCAGAACGGTATTTAGCCCTCCAATCCCCCCCATCAACAATGACCTCCGATTGGCTGTCGTGCTGAGGGAGGCGTGACAAAGCATCAGCCAGCGAGTTGGAAGACCCGGGAAAATGGTGGAGCGTGAACTGGAACTTAGCAAAGAAGTCAGCCCACCTGAGTTGTTTAGCATTAAGCATCCGAGGGGACTTCAAAGTTTCTAGGTTCTTGTGATCAGTCCAAACTTCGAATGG